TCTTTCATTTACAATAAGTAAAAATAAATTATAAAGCAGTAAAGAGATGTATTAATTCTATTTGTGTTATATATTCAAATTTACAAAAATTAAAGTCAGAACTAATTTGCCATGCTGACTGCATCTTCCAATATAATTGAGGCTGATTTTTTAAAGAAATAAGGGTGCATAGGCGAGAGGATATTAAAGGATGATAGTAGAATTGTTAGCCGTTCATACCACGTTATATTTCAACTGATATATCATTATGTTATTCATTTCTCATGATGCGTATAACTTGTGTGGGGTGAGGGTGGTGAGTGAGAGAGCCATGAGGAGAGGGGGGAAGAGAGGGGGAGAGAGAGGCGGAGTGGGAGGGAGTGTATGCATGCGTGTGTGTGTGTGTGTGTACTAATTGTATGTAACTCATTTATAATATTTTTTTAAAATATGTTCATTTTTAATTGACAGTATCCTTTCTGTATATATGAGTGATATGCTAATGACAAATGATGGTTTTTGGTAATTTGTAAGAAACCATTAATACAAAACCCTGGAATTGTGCTACTACTGATTAGGGAATTGCACCTCAGTCTTTCATCCACGAGATTTAAGATGAAAAAGTATAATTTTAACGATTATGTCATACAAAACAGATTATAGCAACACACATCATAATTCATACAACTCAGAAATGGTGCCTCCTAGGCCTTAAAAACATTTTCGTGTTCCTCAGGGACAGAAGTTTTATGAGAAAGAGTTCTGTGGGGACATGAGTTTTGAATGTATGGGTCAGGGTCAAGTGGGGACATGACGATGGACAATTCGGGGACAGGTGGTGAAATAAAGGGGAACAGGCAGCGGCAGGGGGACCGAAATTATGTTTCTTAAGCAGTATTCTACAAAATGAGATTTTTTTGAACTTTCTATTACATTTTTGAAAATTTAGTTCTCTTGAGTGACCTCTCCATAAAATAAGTGGTTAGAAAGAGCATACATCTGAAATATCTGTAAAATGAAATTGAAGGAAAAAAACAGAAATAATCTTTCTTCATAAAATTAAAGAGACTATTTGATTATCTGAGTAATTTAATCTCATTCCTTAGTGATATTAGAACGGTTCCTGTCACACAGTGCCGTAGTACAATGCTTCTAAGTTGAGTACGACTCTGAAGCAATTTTAAGTTTTAAAACAATTATTTACAAAGTGCAAAGTTTTTGCACAAGTCCAGTAAGTTGTCTGTAAGTACATAGAAACAGTAAGGCAACAGAAAACATTTTATTATTCACTTCAACTTGTGTATCGATTTTCATTGTTCAATGTCATCGGACAATGTGTTGCAAAATAGTATCCATGAAATTTTTGTAGTTAACTGCTGAGACTTGACACCTGATGAATATAATTCCTACATGTATTTTACTGATAAGGCATATTACCATAAGGTAATACGATATGGTAAAACAATAAGATATGGCATCTTACCAGTAATACCAAGTATTACCGATAAGGTGCTATACTCATGCACGTTCTTGCATAGAAGCAGTCTGTTGAACAACCGGCACAGAATGTATCTACCTATGGTTATCATATCTAATACATGTGTGTAAACGCTGATTAATTATAAACTACATTTACTTAGTAATTCGAACAAAAAATTACATTTTGCTTCAGAATACCTTTTTGGGTGGCCTATTTTTATTATGATACGTGTCAGTATATTTAAAAATTAAATGGGATATTTTTAAGAGCTTATTATAAAATGATTAGGACAAAATTCACTCTGAAACACGAAATTGATTGGTTTTATTTAATTTTATTCAAATTATGAATATTAATCCAATATTATTAGAATAATGGAGGAAACATGCGTTTGGCATATCTTATGCATGCCCACTTTCATGCTTGTCTCTTCTTTTCTGTACACACATTTATGGACAGACAGACACAAGAAAAGCTCATGAAAACCAGTAAGAAAGCAGGTGATTAATAACAGAATAATAAACTGTGAATCATTGCAATAAAGCATGTCAACCATCAATAGCATTATAATATTATTACCAGTAAGGGTGCACATTTTATGATTGTTCAGATCATTTAAAACTTGTTGCAACATTTTCGGTAGTCTGATCTTCTCATTTGGAGTCTGTTTCTGATTTGAAAGGAAATGGAATTCCAATTCCATAGTCATCTAGCAATTAAAAGATTGAAATGTTTAACAAACAAAAAGTACAATAAAAGTTCTTAGTTCAAGTAAAATTTCTCAAAATCCTCTCATATAAAATTCTTTGTATAAAAAGAAGCATCAAGCTCAGTAATACAAAAAATATATTTCATGTCACTCTACACTCACCAAATAGTCAGCAAACTTTTTGACAACAGGTTCATATTGTACACTGCGTGCTGATGCATCACATACAAAACACAAATTGAAATAGAAAGCATTTCTAGCATATTTCTTATCATCTATTCTAATAGGAAAACCAAGGATCTTTGATTCAAATAAAGTACTGAAAAAGAACAAACAGTGAGAACTGACAAGGAAATATAAAATATAATACTGCAGAGTTCCACAAACTACAACAAATACTTAAAGGAGACAGATAAAAGCAGTATTCTTTACTGTTGAAATAAATGCAATAACAACATCCCTATTTACAAAACCAAATTATTTTACATACATTGTAATAGTACTTCTTTGTAACTGGGCTTTAGGTATTATATATACACTAACAGCATCAAAACTTTCTTTTGAAATGTAATTTTCTGGAACCTGTAAAAAGAAAATATAATAATTATTTCTAAAATTCTTCAGTGTGACTTAATAAACAGTCCTAGGATATATAAATAAGGGGAAAAAATAACAACCTTTCAGTAAATTTAAAATTAAATATCATTAAATAAGGAATCACAGCTTAACAACTCAAAAATAATAACTGCAAACTTCTGCTGAATATGTCAACACCGTAACCACAAATACAACACAACAACGTAACTTAGTAACCAACAAATATTAAATGCTTGATATTATTACAGCATCATAAAGCAGAAAAAATTATAAAAGAGGAAGAATAAATATCACAACAAATTAACACGGTATCATTGATATTTAACAAATCATAACCATAAAAGTAATCATTGTTCTTCTTTAATAATCAAATCATTAATTTTGCACTTGATAAACAAAATTTGTACATTACAATACACCTTCTTTGGTTCCTTGAGTTGGCTTGACTGGTGGGCAAATGCTTGACTCTATAAGACATATAAACCCTTCTCCAAAGAGAAAGTAAAAAGATAAAATTGATAGTCACAATTCTTTAAAATTTAACAAGTCAATTTTTATTTAACAATTTTTTAAATACCTGATAAAAATGATAGGCATAAAGTATAGATATATTTTAAAATTTAGAGATAGTAAATGTATGGGTGCATTGATCTAACTGTGAACTGTTTTCGCAACTATGTTTGAGTACGTATTACTGTCTAAGAGAATAAAATTTGGAAAAATCTTTTCTTTGTACTTAGGCTCTGATGGACTACCCCGCAGAACAGTGTCACTGTGAAGAAATAACTTTTTTTTTAAGAATGATTAATGTGACAAATATAAAATAAATTTTAAAAATTTTAAATTTTCAGAAATATTTTGTTTCTATCTAGCTCAGCACATTGAGAAACTTAAATATTCAATTACAGGGGTCTGAATGCACTATGTTCATCTAGCCTGAACTGATCTCGAGTACAAAAATAAAAGGTTCATGATCAGTAATGCCAAATATTATAACAAAATACGAATTTTCCACTTCATCTTTTTATTGGTTGGCTAAATATCCAATTTTTAAAAGGCATATAACTTCAACTGTACTAACAGTGATTGATTAAGGTATTTTGACAAGTTTGGTTCATTTGAAAAAAATGTCATCACCGATAAACACTTTAATGTCTCGAACCCTGTGGGATATTATTAGTAACATTTGCTAAAAATGTATACAAATTAAAAAAATGAACATGGACTTAAATTTTAAAGGCAATTTAAATATTGAATTCTACAATAAATTACTTCAGTTACGAAAACCAACAACAAATGCTAATCAGCAAGTTTAAATATATTTTTAATATCACATACAAAAAATGAAAATAATGTGGAAGTGAGAACACTGAGTGTCACGGAAAATTAAAAGATACTTAAAAGGATCAAGACCACAACATTGGTTATATATTATTAACAAGAATCCATTGATTTCGAAAGTACAACAGCATTAACAAATTACAAATCCCTACAGTGAATTAAAATATTCTACCCACTGTAACGTTAAAAGTTTTGAAATTGGCAAATCCTACTGAGAAAGGCATGTGACAAACTATACCTAAAGAAGTCACATTAATATTAGTATTTGTACATTTAAATAAAAAATAATAATATTGACTAATGATTAAGATGAAGATAATACAAAATCTTGAGACATTATTTTAATGCACAGTGCTTTTACAAAATGCCCAGTGCATTTCCTGAACTTTCCTCTAAAATCACAGAATTTTTTACTGAATCATTCCTAAAAATTTTAATTTTCAATCGTGTTATTTCCAGGAAAGAATGGAGGATTCCACACAGTTAAAATTCTGTACTAAAACAATAAAAAATGTAATTATGATTTGGCTGACAGAAATGTATTAATGAAAAACGTGTGAATATTTCACAAAATGAAGCATAAACTAACAATTCAAATGAATAAAATCTACAATTAACAAAGTCTCAAAACCCTACTTGGCAAGTGATCTTTGGTCCAGCTGTGGGATGAAATTCGCACAAGAAGATGCATCTTAGAGAATCTCCAGTACCATAGCCACCAGGTTGGGATTCTCCGCGTACACGATACATTTTCTCAATATATGACAAGGCGTCTTTCCTACATGATGAACTTTCTGTGTTTATTTGAGGTATCATCCCTTTAGCACGTGATCGTGTACATTTCAAATGATGAATGAAAAGGATCTGTTTACTTTGTGTTGCCAACCTAACAACCTGACTGTTTACACAAAGTAAACAATTTCAAATCTCCAAAGTAAGTAATACATTTTAGTTATTCTATTTTATTCAATAATATATTTAATGTATAGTTATAAATACGATACCGTGTACTTGAGATAATAATGACTAGGGATTAAGGAGCACTTGTTATGTACTATAGCAAGACAGCATGAGAAAACCAACAGGGAAAATTCCTTGGAGGTTATTACCAACAGTTAATCACTAAAGTGGCAAATTGTGGCTTCTTCTGTAATATTCGAGCATGATCTATCACAGATGGCTCTCAGCATAATTTCCAAGATGATGCAATTTCAGTCCATGTAGCATTGTATTTTTTGTATTTTGTAGTTTTATTACCAAAGTGAATCCATTTGATTTCGCCTGCATTGATGTGTCATTGACCCGCATTGACCAGAAGGGGTTGTCACCAATGTTCATCAGTTCGCCAGAATCCCTGTTCGCCACCTGGTGTAAATACCTGTAACTAGTTGTTGTAATACAACTGCCCAGCAACTGCCTTTTATCTGTAATTTTGTCGGGATTTATATGTCAACATAGGATAAGGTAATATTTGAGAATCTGTGGTGTTAAACCTGATGTTTTATGAGTTTTCAAGTTATGAGAACTTTCGATCCGTGACTAAAACTTTGAGACTGAAACTTCTGTGAATTAAGTATACCGAAGATAACATCGGTGCGTGATAACCTAATACTACCAATTCTTATTATTGACGAAGTGTCATTACAAACCACATTAAAATTGAATCATAAGGAAGGAATATATGTCAAAATAAGCAACACGTTGAAAAGTCATCCAACTCATTCAATGCTGTCTCTACGATAGTAACTTTCATCCATGCTATCACGTTGACTCCAATCAATATTACAAAAGTAGTTATCTGTTTTATAAAATATGTCGTCGATGACCTTTGGGCAGAAAACTTTCACGCCCACTCCTCCTGAGAAAGGCAGTTTTCCTCTGGATCATGAGGGTCGATGCAAAAGTTCAATGTTAAGATATATGATATGTCTTCAGGAGAAAAACAATGACAATTCACAGTGTCGCAAAGAAGCAAAAGATTATTTGAATTGCCGAATGGAAAACTATTTGATGGCCAAAGAGGAATGGTCTAAGTTAGGATTTAGTGAAGTAGATGTTAATGCAGAAGAATCAAATAAAAAGTAACTCAATTTTTGTGCTTAGGACTTCATGCTTTCTACATTAACAGAACCGTATGCATCTCTTGCAGACTTTCAGCTCATCTCACAATGGGTGATTCTGTAAATGAAGAACATTCATGTATGTCATCTGCAGTAAAAAGACATCTCTTGATAGGATGCACAGGAAGTGTGGCAAGTATCAAATTACCAGAAATCATACAAGAATTCAAGAAAATTGCTGGTGAAAATGTTGAAATTCGTGTTGTTGTTACCCAATACGCCAATCATTTCTTCAAGGAATCTGATCTTCCAAATAGTATAGAAGTATTTAATGATGAAGATGAGTGGAAAGCATGGAATTCACGTGGGGATCCTGTCCTTCATATAGAATTGGGGAAGTGGGCAGATCTCATGGTTATTGCTCCTCTTGATGCTAATACACTTGCCAAAATAGCACAGGTAATTGCGCACAACAAAAAAAAACTCATTATTACTAATGTATTTTTTAAGGTGTCAGTTTTTTTTGTTTGTTTTTAACAGGGTTTATGTGACAACTTGTTGACTTGTGTGGTCCGTGCCTGGGATATGAAGAAGCATCTTCTGTTTTGTCCTGCAATGAATACAAGAATGTGGAATCATCCTATTACTTCAAAACATATATCAGTGTTGAAATCCTGGGGTTATTGTGAAATACCTCCCATTTCAAAAACACTAATGTGTGGTGATAAAGGAATAGGTGCCATGGCTGAAGTTTCTACAATAGTACAAAGAGTGCAAGATTGTTTTGTAAATGAAAAATTGTTAGCTCAGTGATATTAGAACATATTTTGTTCATAGTTAATTTGAAATACTATTAATTGTTAATTGAAAGAATATTTTATTGTACAATTAAATATTATTACTCTTAAATAATTGTAGTCATGTATGGTATTGATTGGTTTCCCATTGCATCAATAATTTTCTTTTTCTATGTTTTAACAACTTCCTGCACTAATATTTTGTCACATATTAAAAATAAAACTTTTTTATAAATTTTTAGTTGAATATGGTAATTAAATATCGTGAATGGAATTTGCATAATGTATGGAGATATTTAAACTTGTATTAATAGAAAGTAATTATCTTAAGATATCTTGAGAATGGGAAAATCTCATATTTGCTCATTTTGCAGCAATTTGCAGGTTTTATTTCTTCAATAGGAGATATCTGAAATTAAACATTAGCAAATTTTGGCATTCCTGAATGTGGGATGTCAATTTATTAATACATACTAAGTAAATTAATATAGGGTATTGAATAAACTAATTCTAAATAGCAGATCTTTTGGTTTATTTAATTTATTTTTTAAAATAAGAATCAAATTGCCATACTAATTACATTGGCAGGCAAAATGCAACTTAAATTCTTAGAGAACAGTATATTGAGTTACTGGATTTTGCAAGTAAATGTATTAAGTAAATGAACAATTACGAAAAAAAAAAAACAACCAATCCTTTGAATAGATTTCTATGGTTGAAGAATAAAAGTTATTAGTTTTTTAACTAACTCTCTGTGGTAACAAACTTTGACCCCAGGGTAAAGGTTTGTTAGCACATAGTTTCTCAGGTGAGAAAATTATTTAATTGTGCATGCAAATTGATTACAACTTACTAGTGTTCAGCAATTAAAAAATCTTTCAATTTCAAACAATATTTTGAAGAAAAAATAGGACACTTCAACTAGAATTGGTGTAGTCAAGCTATCAATTGTGAGTATTGTGTTTATTTTGCCTAAATGTTCTTCAAAGGCTTAATTTCTGTTTGAAAAAATGATATTCTAATATTTTAGCATATTTTATCAGGATAATGAATATTATCATAAAATTTCAGATCATTTGTTGGTATATGCTTCTTTATTAAGCTTTTATGAACCCACCTCTGAGTAATTTAAAACAGTTCTAAATACATTTTGGTTAGGAATACAAAATATTCCATGAAATATTTCATTTTAATTTCTTTTTGAAGTAAAACCAAGTGTGTAAATGTTTTACATAATTTGCTAATTGGAGATTCTCTTAGGAAATGTCCTCTATCCTGGCCTATTGGAAGAACTTTCCCAATTAAAATAAACAATATTGGACAACTATCATCCATTTTTTGTGAAAGAAGCAGAGAGGCTAAGCAATATTTTTGGGTACATGCAATATTGCTCCTAGGAGGAGAAACCAATATAGTTTTAATCACCAATCTTCATACCATAATTTGGGAGGAAATCAGAAGCAGCAATGTTTTTGTGAGCTGTGTTAAATGTAAAGTTTGCTCCTAGGAAGAGAAGCCATCAGTAATCAATGTGTTTTCCACTACAGATTGTTGAATTACTCCACTGAATTTTGTTGTTAAAAATGCCAGAAAAGACCCTTCAATAGATTTCATTTTTTTACAAACTGCTCAAGTAGTAGTTCTGCTGACAGTGAGTTCCCAACGATATTATTGTGGAAGGGGGATCCATACTTTACAAGAAGTCAAGTCAAGTATGCTCTTAAATAAGTATTAGGAAATTGCACTAATAGTTATCCATGAGGGCTCATAATGAATGCTGACAAAAATAAACTTCCTAAAAATAAGTATTCTATGGTGGGGGAAAGGGGTAATTGAACAAGAGATGCTTCACCACCACATTCTTTCTTGCTTTATTTGCAACAGTTTGTATTATTTCCACCACCTCATACAGGTAAGAAAGGATAAATTCACATATAAATTGAACATTCACAACTAAAGGCCATCCAATGTATCGCATTTTATGAAAGTATTCGAAACTACATCATTACCTTACGCATATATGTTTATACATTCTTCCTGCCTTTAATGAAGTTGAATATAGCATTTTATTGAACATAGAGAACACTAACAATAAGTAAATAAAGCCACTTTATCTTCCCATCATGCCACTGTTCAGCCATGAACTTTTCAAATATCCGTCACTGCATTGTTGCCTAAAGCAGCATACAATGGTAATATAAAAATAACGTAATAAAAGTTTGTACAAAATTATGATACTCAAGTTTTTAAATTGTTCTTTCATATTACATTTAAATCATATTTTTATGAGAGAAAACCTAATTGTGTTAATTGCAATTAGGCTAAGGTTTCTAAATTTCTTGAAAGAAAATACATGAATGCATTCAGAATACAAATGGTAGAATAGAGTAAAAATCAAATTAATGTAGCCATTTTCAATAGTAAATTATAATTAAAATTAAATTAATTATTTTTCATATCCTTTTGATCCACCCATCCCCCAAGGGTTTTTCTCATGTACCGTAGTTGGTGGGACACCTGTATTTTTTTCATTAATTCCAAGCAGAAATTTACGAGTTTTTTAAAACTATTTTACATGACCATTTTTAACGAGCTGATTTTTAAGAACGTTTTTTATTTGAAACAAAAATCTCTGATCTTCCATTTTATGGTTTACAAATGTGAAGTTCTTGCAAGTTTTGAAAATACCTGAGAATTCAATGCAGGGAATATATAACTTCAAGGATAATGATACTTGCACTATTCTTCCAGCTTCAAGGAAAAAATTTTAAGAAAACATTTTGAATGGTTTTTGAGAAAAAATATAGCCTATATATTTTTTTTTAAATTGCACAAAAACTACTCTTAAAAGACAAAAAAACATGACCTTTTATTAAAGAACTGATTTTTTGCAACACATTGTGTGAGTTAAAAATCTCTATCTTCAATTTCATAGTTTTGAAGTGTTAACATTTTGCATTTTTCAAAGTTGAAAATGGCACTAGCACCACATTTTTAACAATCCCCTATTAAATTTAAAATGGAGATTAAAATTAAGGATAAAATTTAAAGAAAAAATTTGGAGCGGTTTTTGAGATTTTTATTTATTTATTTATTTGGGCTTCTATTTCTCGCAGAATTTTCGAAGTGCTACTTTCAGAACTACTCATATTTTCCAAAAATTGAACATGACCTTAATTCAAGATCTGTCTTCAAGAGACAGATTTCATGAAGGAAAAAAATCTCTTCTTAAATATTTTAGTTGTAGGAAGAGGTCAAAAAAATTTTGAATTTTTGCAATTTTCAAAAAACCGGGAATTTTAATGAAAATGAGACCTGTGTTGGTCATTCTCTTATGCATACATTACACTATCAGGCAAAAAAATTTAATAAAATAATGTTAGTGCCTTTTTGTTTTTGTTTTAGAATTCAAAACCTAGTTAACATCTACAGTAACATTTTAATTAACAATTTGATTCTTCAATTATGTTCAAAAAAACATAATGTGTTTTAAAAATATAATGAAGAAAAATAAATTAGTGTGTTTTGGGTACTTAAATATATTTTTATAAAATGTCACTTACAACGTTCTGGTTTTCACCCATTCGTATACAGGGACATGATTTATTCACTTTTTCGGTATTGGAGCCTGCCAATAAGAGTTTTTCCCTGGAAATTTTTCCGTTTCCCCACAGCATTACAATGCTTTCTCTATACTGTGTGAGAGGTAGTGAGAAAGTAAAACTGCTGGTACAGATGCACAGGGAGGAAAATTTCTCCCTTAAAATTTTTTAATAACTATTAATTTTAACTTGCCAAGAAACTTTCACACAAAAATATTTTCAGATATTATTAAAATGAATAAAATTGTATTGCAGCATGAGCCGAGCGCAGCCTGTGACATTTTACTGTAATCTGTAATATAACACATTCGACCAAAACATTTTAAATTTCTCCTCCCAAAATCTGGGTCTGGGTCCACCCCTGAAAAGTGTATGTATGCTTGTGTGTCTCATTGAAGGACATTCTGGTAGAATACACACTTCAAGCCTTTCAAAAAACATGTTACCGAGAAGATACGCTTTTAACAGGTCAATTACTTTATACTACTGATATTACTTTTGTGATTCTCTGGGTTGTCAAGTGGGGAGGAGGCTGTGATGTATTCAGACACATCATATAAATGTTTTTTGTTATGAAATTTATTAAGGAGGAGAGAGTAAAATATTACGTTTTTATGTACAGTTTTAATGACCCCTAACCTACTAGCACAGTTCTTTAGATTACAAAAACAGGAATTTGCAGTCTCAACAAAATGTGATCAGTCCTAGCATTCAATAATTAATTATTATATTAAATTATGAAATGATATTAAATAGTTTACTTAATATATTCATTATTAGGTTATGTAGAGCAAATATTCCCCCCACAAATTCATAATTAGTTTTACAATTTTACAATGTAAGTTTTCTGAACAAATTTCTTTGATAATGGCTGACAAACTTAATGAAATGTCCATGCAAGACTTGATTTCTTGTTTGAACTTCAAAAGGAATAAGGATGAACACTGTTAGTACTGTAAGATCACATGTTTCCTGGAAGTTCAAGCAACTTTTTATGTAATTTGTAAGTGGTGGTGAAGGCTTCGTAACAAATTTCTTTGGGCATATACCTGATCTATTTATTTCCTCAGACTTACGTTACACACTAGACACCAATTCTTCTTAATTTAACCAATAACAATATATATTATTGTGAATTTGTACTGTCATGTTAAAGTTCTGTTTTTACAAGATTTTAAACGTACTAAATTATTTTTCTAATTAATTGTTGTATTTCTGGAAAATGTATTGCTGGGGAACCACTTTAAATAATAGTTTCCAATGACCACCTATTTAAATAATCATTTCTTATAAGAGCCCTCCAGTCCCATACAAAATAATGTATTCTCTAATCAGTGAGCAAATTTCTGGTATCTACAATTGTGAGGGATGTTTTTAAACTGCATCAATAAAATAATCCATATTATCCTAAAGAATAATACTTCCCTTGAACATTGTCTTGCATATGGAAATATTAAAAAATGTCTAATAATTATCAGTCAAAAGATAAGAGTGAAACCCTAGCATGTTTGATGTGACAGCATGTTTAAGAAAGAAAGGTATTCAATTACAATTCAAAAATTAATGCATCAAAGATAAAGAAATCTCAAGCAAATTTGTGTTACTTTCATAGGTAAAATACGATAGGTATCTAGTAGAAATTTCAGGTGTTGATTGAAACCTATTTATACAATCTATAAAAATTCAACAAAAAATTTTATTAAATCATAATATACATATTTTTGACAATGCTTATTTTAAGTAAACGATACAAAGCTGATCTATACAATTGTATTGAAAAATAAATATCACAGCGATTACAAACTGAATAATCTACTTGCACCTACCTCCACACAGCCGTTTAAAATTTTCATCAGATATCCCAAATAAAATTTCATGACTAATTGCTAATATATGTCTAAATACAATTGGTTTGGTCAACTGTTACAGGAGTATTCCTCATGTTTTCTTCACTCTGCTTTCAGTGGCAATGGTACATTCACACCATCTATGCCTTGCATTGAAGGAAAATAATATTAAAAATTGCATTTACTGGATAAACTTTGTGTCAGAAGTTTTAAAGTTTGGAAAGAGAATTACGTATTTTGACAACAGTTTATTCAATTTGTATAAAAGCTAATGCCTAATCTGACTTAAAACTGACTGAAATGTGATTTCTGACTTTCATGGCTTTTAGAAATTAATATATTTATCTTCCTCCTATGCAAGATACAGAATTCTCATAATAATTAATGTGAGCAACAAGTATACTAAATTGAAAAATCTATAAGAAAAATTTGAATTCAAGAGTAGAAATCAGAACAATATTGCTTGTATTGCAACATCCACATAGTGAAAATATATAAATATTGTTTATCATAAGAATATGCATCATTGAATAAATATCATTGAAAATACGTACTATTGTGACAAAAAAAAACAGATGTATTTTTCTATAAAATGAAAAATAATCTAATTAAGATATTAATCTATTTTTTCCTTACTACCAAATACCAATTAATTTAAAGACTTATCATTAAAACCCATCTCACTTACAAAGAATCATATTTTTCTACTATTGATACCTCTAAAAACTCCTCAAAATGCATTATTGACATCAAATCAAACAATTTGTATTTTTATAATTTGCATGCCATTTGGTGTTTTTTAGATATGAGTCATTTCTTTTGTTTCATGGTAGTCAACATTGTTACAAATATATCTTGCACAAATATTTATTTTCTCGTAACGTATAGCAAGGAGGTACAAAAAATACTCAGCCATGTATAGGCACACATGTTAACTTAGTAAACAAATGGCTATAACAACAACATTGGTTCCTTAAAAGTTCCAATTTCAATAGTTTTTGAAGTTAGGCCTGGAACTTTGTTAAACGCATCAAACAATAAATGCAATAAAATCCAATCAATTGAACCACCATTCGGTGTACATTTTTCTAACTATTGGTAACTGTTTATTTCAAGTGGCATCATATTTTCATCTACTTTCAAATTTTAAAATTATTGAATGTCACAATTGCTAACTTACCACCAAATTCAAGCAGTTATAAAAGCAGAAATCAATAAATAATAAAATATACATTACTTCAGTCTTTTACAACTGCATCAGTGAAGATGACAAAAACTTTAATGTATGTGATACACTGTATGTTTTCTGAATTTTGCCTCGCTATCTGGTTGGAATTACTATTAACAACATGCTTCTGACGTGGAGGAGTCTTCTATCACAAATAGTTCATGTAAAATGATCTTGACAGTATTATATAGACAAATTTCTTCACACAAATTTATGAGGCACAATTTTCACAATCACTGACACATTGGTGATACACCCAACAAGTAACAATAGCATTAACAACACTTTCAAAATATATGATATTAGTAACTATGAGTGTCCACCAAGAATGCAATATACATATAATTCTTTAGCCAATAAATATATAAAATAAATTCATATAATTTAGAGATCTTTGTGTATAAAGCACATGCATTCAAATTCTGAAGCAATACTGTTAGAAATATGTGAACAATTGAGCAGAGGTTCTGTTGATTAACAAACTGAGATGCCCTAGTTTCATTCCAAGTTGCATACCCACAATTGCTAACAAAAATCATAATTCTACAAACATAATGAAATGGTCTTCAGATGGCAGTGAAATATTTGATAGATTTCACAGGTTAGAGCAGGAGTTTAAAAGTGTTTTCATAAATTAAAAAAAAAAAATGTTTCTACTACTGAAAAGCTAATTTTAATTTCAATTATGTAAAAGGTCTCTTGTGCAAAATCCCACAACAGTAAGAAAAATTCTAAGGGATAAAATCACAATAAATTTATTGTGAATCATTCAATCATTAACTGAATGACTAATTCTTAAAACAGAAAAAGGAGAAGGCAAACTTAAATATTTTTGCTCACAGATAATGAAATAATGCTGAACTAATGACAATGTATACCTTTCGATGGACTTCATCTCAGCATGAACAAGGGCTAATAATTAAGATTCACACATGCAAAAAGAAAAGAAAATACAACATTCATATACATTATAATGCATGTTTTCAGTGTATCACTTTTCTTTATTAAATTCAGAAATTTCAAGTAATGCTATATTGTTTAATAATAAGCAAATGCAAGACCATAAAAAAACATTTGCAATGAATTACACTGTATCACTTTTAAGCAAGACTTGCACTGGAACCTGTGACTCCAACTGGTTAGAATTGTTTATCACTTGCAATCACAATCCGAAAAACGTCACACATATATAGAACTTCTTGTATTGTACATGGTACAATACATCTAGTATCATAGCAAATATACCTATAAGAACTTGATTAAAATCCTAATAAATCCAATTATATGTGTAATTAAAATCACTCCAGCCACAGTATGCAAACGTCTTGTACAAGCAGATGATGATGTATTGAAGTTAGTGTCTTCTGGCTCACCTCTGTTCCCTAAAGAATAATGTTTATGTTCATTGGATCTTTCTGACAGAGGACACCCCAGCCACTTGGGCCCAGAGGGTAATTGTCTTTCATTCTCCACCGACATTCGATAGTCATTAAATTTCCAATAGCCTTTTCCTTTGAAGAAATATGTCTTTCCTGTAACAACATTGATCAATATTATCATTCCTTAGTATGAAAGAAAAAAATAAAAAAATTCTGTTTCCCAATGCACTTACCATCTTTCCACTGGAAGACAGTGTCAATATTGTAATCTACTCCCTTCCACATAGACATATCTCTTGGGTAGTCCAGTTCTACTTTTCCAACATCCTCATCGAACCTGCCACAATAAATTTCCTGTGTCACTAAGATTCTCCCAACTTCTATTCAAAAATTCTAACTTAAAATAATTACTATGATGATTCTTTCTTAAAAATAAATAATACAACATTAGCAAAATACGCAAAAAACATTGCATTCTTTGTGAACATAGTAATTCTTAAGAATGTACATTTTCAAATGAGGATAATACTTTTAAGACTGATTTGTTGACCAAAGACTGACTTGTTTGGAGAGGTTTGGTTGAGAATGATAATATCTTTGTTTAATAATAAAAATTGCATGAAATAATTGATAATAAACACATTATTTTTCTAGTCACAGATTTCTTACTACAATACTTTCCAAACTCTAAAATTATTCTATCAAAATATGTAAGTAAGAAAATTAAGAATGTGGATTTTCTCAACTTACCTCCAGTACATAGTTCCACTGAAGAAGTATGTCTTCTTGTTATGTCCCCACACCATTGCTCCATCAATTTTTTGAAGCGATTCTGGCAAACCCAAATGTGTTAAAGGACGCCTGCTTTCCAGTGTATTAGCATCAAATGTGTAGTACATTTTTCCTGTAACATAAATAATGAAAATAATGGATCTGAATGATGGGACATAATATGCTAACATATGAGAACAACCAACTTAAAAAGATGCCATTGGTAGCCCAAATTTCATCGCAAGATTTGTGCCAATAACAGTTATTTAAAACAATTTTAGCTCACCTACTCATCTTTTTTTTTATTTATCTTGCACATGTACAAGACATATTATAATTGCTTGTTAGCACTCTGCAAATTTTGTAATATTTTTTATCTTTTCACTTCTTTCAGTTAATGTTAAAAGAGTGAGTATTCAATCAAGGTTCCTTTTTGCAAAAATGCCAAAGCGAGGAATCAACAAATTCATAAATTGAATTTTCTAGTGATTTCTTTGCTGAATGTATCCATGATCTTCCCTCAAAAAATTCATTTTAATTTTAAGATACTTTCTACAATCTAGATCCATTAATGACATCCTTGACAATAAAAACAAGTTTTTGGCTTTTTAAAACGCATATAATGAATAACCATGAATATACACTCTTTAAACAAAATTGTATTTCCCTATTGAGTAGACATAAAAAAAGGACAAGAAGAAGAAGGAGGAGAAGGAGAAGGAAATGAAGAGAAAAGTTTGATTATTTCAACAATGCAGCACACAAATAAACATTGCTAAAAAAAGTAATAACTTACTCTGAGAATTCCAAGAAATTTTCAACCTAACTCAATTATTTTGTGATTTTGTGCTGACCTGGTGTATATTATTTTGAGTTTTAAACTTTTTCAACCGTTCTCATTTGCCAACACATTCTTAACTCTCACCAATTTTATTCTCAATTTTAAAGATGCAATTATTTTTCTACTGCTTGCTCTTTATAAAACCATCAAATTTTTACATCATTGAGTATAACAAAATTGTTAAAATTTAATACTAGATACATTCAAATAAATTTGAAACACGAATAAAATGAATCATAAATCATCATAACTTACTAATTTAATGTAATGCTAAAAGGATAAAAACTAAACTATTTCCTTAGCTCAAAGTATAATTACCTATGAAGAATACAATCTTCTTGTCATTTCTTTCATAAACAGCATCAACATGAGTCAAGTTTTCAGGCAAGCGATGCCATAAGCGACGAATTTCAGCAGGATAATTAGGAAGTAGTCCATCATTTCCAATCCGCCAAAGATACTGTAAAAATATAACCAATTTTTCATTATTTGCATTTCTTAAAATTTCTATAATTTCTTATTTTTAAGCTTTTAACTTACTCTTCCTTTGAAAATAAAGACTTCTCCTCGAATGACACTGATTGCATCGTAACTCATCTCACAACCATTTGGTTTATCATCCTCTTCTTCAGTAGGATAATGAACTGGATACCTGGGAGGAGGAGGAGTGTATCTTGGTGGATCTCTTCGTTTTGTTGGTCGAACATATGGTTTCCTTGTAGTAGTTGTAGTAGTGGTAGTAGTTGTAGTTGTTGGCGGTGGTCGATGAGGTTTCGAGGTGATAAAAGGTCCCCATTTTTTTCCATCTTCTTTGGATCCTAAATATTAAATTATTTATAATTTGTCATACAATTTCATCATTTGAATAGAAACAAAGGCTAGAAGAAATCATGATTAAAAAAAAGAAATACTTTTTTATTTAAGTAACATTTTTTATTTAAATAAGATTTATTTGATTAAAATAAGAAAACAATAATTTAATTGATTTAAAATTGTAGTAGATATTTTTACTTTAAACCAAAATCCTTCAGTGATCCTTAATTAATTCAAAAGCAGAAAAAAGTTTATTAATGTATCAGTTTTTAAATTTATTATTAAGTGATTGTAATTTCATTAGGAAAAATAAAGATATTAGAATATAAGAGGGGAATATTGAGGGGTTCAGTGCAATACCACCCTAACCCACAAAATATTTTAATTTGAGTTATTTATAATTTTGTGCTTTTGAAAAACATATCTTGCATCCACATTACCAAATAAGTTTGTGGCATCATCTACTAGCAAGGTTTAGAAAAAAAGTCATTCTTTGTTTCAAGAAATTGTACCATTTTTTGTGCAATACCCTATAGAATATAAGATATTCTTTATATGAATTTTGTAATTGATTTAAGTCTTATACGAGTAATTTTTAATTTACAAATGTTTAAAATATAAATATATTTTCAAATAATACAAATAGGTAATAAATATTGATTTTAAATCATTGATTTTTTTATAATAATCATTTGATTTCACTCACGATTTAAATCAATGATTTAAATCACATGATTTAAAACATGCCAGCCTTAATAGAAACAGTAAGAGAGTTGAAAGAAAATATAGTTGCTTGTTACAAATGATTTTTCTGTAACACAAGTAAAGATTTAAGTATAAAGTTTAAAGTTCCTTTATTTAACGCAAAAATACTCATATTTTGAAAAAACTGTTATGACATTATTCAAAGACCTAATTTTGAAGAACACATTTCATTTAGTAAAAAGGATCTTCATCTCTAATATTGTCAATGCAGGAAGAAGCCAACAACAGATTAAACTTTTGCAAATTTTGAAAATTCAGAGAATTCAATTAAAAGGGACATAAACTATGTTTATAATGGTATTTTGCTGTATTTGGGGGTAAAAAAATTAAATAAAAACTTTGAAGCCGATTTATTAGGATATTTTTAAAGTGTCATTTTGGCTTTATGAAAAAATCAAAATGTCCTTTTCGAATTTAATGGGCTGTGACATCAGCCAGATTTATCAGGGAATATAGATTTTGGTGAAAATCCTACTTAGGTTTTATCTGCTAAGGTACTTCATATACAAACACACAGTTTTGCAGTAAACCAATATTTTTTAATCAAGGACCCACAAAATGTGGATTCTGTTCAAACATTTGTTAGTGGCAGTAATTTGCTACACAAAGGGACAAGAATTATCCACTTTTTCGGTAACAGGGACACACAAGAGAAGTTTTTCCTTCGAAAATCACAGTTTTTTACTATAGCATTACTAACTTTCTCTACATCACATATTATGCCAGAAAGAAAAAAAAATTGAAAAAGCTCACCGTAGAGTTGTTGTATGCCATGGCGATCATCATCAGGTAATTGAAAATTTGGTGTTATACCCTGATACCAAGGGTACATAAGTGCTCCAGGCATAGATGAATGTGACAATCCAAGAGAATGACCAAATTCATGGGCTGCTACTGCAAAAAGGCTAGTCCCTTGAAAAAAAAGAAAAAATGCATTATGCCTTTGAAAATCAGGTTAATCAATTCTGATTATAGATTTATGCTGCCTTCTATCAAATTGGGTTATCATTAGGCATTTACATTCATAAAATATTAAATCAAATAAAAAATTAGGATGCATCTCCAATTTGTGATCTAACTGACATTGAAATTCTAAATCATGCTATGAAATGGTAATTTTCTCCAACATTTTTACAAAGAAATTTATAAAACATTGTGATAAGTTAGCAGGTACACATGCAACATGCAGAACATGTTATCTGCTTCCTTTCTCAATCATCATGCCTAACTGAAATCAAACAACCTATATATCATTAAAACTTGTTTTTTTGATCTCCACAATCAAACTGTTTTTTGTGCACAATAATAACACATTTTAAGAAACATTTTTACACCGTGTCAAGGCAGCCAGAAAACTGCAGAAAAAAAAACTGCTCAAAATATTGGTAAAATTAAATAAACGATGTGATATTCTATGCAATTTAATCTCTTTGGTCAAAGTCTTTCTGTTTGTTATTAAACACTTAGCAATGTGGGCATGGAAAAAATTTTAATCAGGAAGGGGAAGGTGGAGGTGGAAAGAGAATATAATTAATATCATATTGATATAAACAAATTAATTAAAATGTATATTATGAATAAATAATTTAAAATTGAATGCATTAAAATGACCCTTTTTAGCAATCAAAATTACCATTATTATGAAATCCATAAAAACTATGTTAAATTTCTTAAAATGAAGAAATTATCAATACATAAATTAAGTACGCAAAACACACAAATATAATGAAGAAAAATAAATTAAACACATTATGGTTTTTTGAACGTAATTGAAGAAGCAAATTGTTAATTTATCACAAACATCTTCAAATTTTCTGAAAATCTCTTACAAAAGGGTTTTTTTTGTTCTTCCCCCATTTCTAAAAACAAATGTAAAATATGCTCAATGAATAATTATAATCCATTGAGTAGTTTTATAATTACTGTTAATGTTAACTCATGGTTTTTAACCCTAAACAATCCAGAATTCAGAATATTCAACTGGCTCTGCTTCCCAAATTACTTTTACGGACCGACTTTACGGGCCGACGAAGTGCTGGAAATTCGAATTTACCACGTCAAATTATTTTTCAATTTACACAAAAAATACTCACAATTTTGAAAAATCAAACATGACCGTATTTGAAGATATTTTTTTATGAACTCATTTCATTAAAACGCCGAAAAAATTCGAATTTTTTTCAGTTTTCGAAAAATTAGGATTTTCAACCAACATGAGACCTGCACTACTCTCTTAAACGTCCTTCGGACTACCCAAAAACAAAATTTAATCAAAAACACTGGAGCCACGTCTGAGAAAAAAATTATTTAATCAAAATTAAAAATTGTCTATATTTCACGCAAAATGATGCGAAAAATACTCAAATGTTTGAAAAAGTGTACATGACCTTATTTCAAAATCTATCTTTGAGGAAAAGATTTTATTAAGGGAAAGAATTTCATTCAGAAAAAAACACGGAAAACTACCGACCAGAGCAGGTTGCTAGAATTCTGCACGCAGTGGCTGAATTCAATGTAGCTTATAGAGCTCGTGATTAAAAATCTGCCACGGTCGGGACTCGAATCCCAGAAGCCCCCAGTCAGAGACTGCATTCGCCACCATTGATCCATCTCAGCCGGTGTATCCACAGAGCATTAATATCACTCTACTTAAATATTTTAATTCAAATGCACATATTTCAAATCCAAACTGAATTTTACGAAAAAAAAAGTGAATATTATTTTGCTAATTTTAACTAATTCAGTAATGATTAGATCCTCTTTAAATAAAAGATGGTCATCGTTTATTTTTAAACCAATGGCTGTCTTTAGAACAAAGGAGATCTAATCATTACTAAATTAAAAAAGTGAAACCCCCTGCTGATTTTATAATTCATGTATAGGTCAAATCTGAAACTGTTTTTTGTTAAAAGACTTACTGCATTACAAGTATATTGTTTGTTTTTCTTTTTGTTTGTTGTTTTTTACTACGTTTTCCAATATTATTAAAAATACATATTGACTTTTGTGTTCGCACTGAAAACTAGGATGAAACCATGTTGATGCGTAATAAATTTTCAACCGCCAGCAGCAGTACCACAAGCATCCGCATGTAGCGTGTTCCTTTTTGTCAATTCATTACATTCACAATTCACTATATATGGAGGTGTAAATTATGTCTACCTTCACTTTCATCCGACACTTCGTTGAGAAGCCAATTTTCCTCTTCGTCAAAATGAGCGTCACCACCTCTCCCATCTCCAGGGAAAAAGGCATGAGCTAAAATTTGTCCTCGGCCATCGAAAGGATAACCGTCTCCATGGTAGCCTCTGTAAAATTAAATTGAAAAAATTAAATTCGATTTTTTTAATGTATGTGAAAATAATGTATAAAGGAAATAGATGTACTAAATAAGACTTCGTACCTTTCAAAATATACTAAAATATCTGCTCTTTTACTATCTACTTCACTGAAAGTGAGCTTTGAGTTTTGGGCCCACACATCCAAAGCGCGTCCCAACTGTAGCCGCACCAATCTCGGGTCCAAGTTCCGAGGATAAAGTGTCTGAAGGCTGAAACAAAAGAGAGAAGTCTTTAACATTTAGTTGTTCATTCGCCTCAGGATTTTGGAAGTGGAAGATTAATCCGGAAGGAAAGATGGCGCACGACGCATTGGTGATTTCACGCGTGAGTGGACCCGGCGGCTGCCAGTATATATACTCTCTGGTTACAGGTCTCTAAGGAGGCCTCAAAATATTGAAAAAACAAACATGCCCTTTAATATATATATATATAAGATATCAGAATCAGTTTGCATTGAGCAGATCGCAGAGGCGCAAGAGGGTGCCAAAGCTTTTCGGACGCAGTTTCTCTTTAGGTTCTTAGTAATGACTATTAAACATAAAGTGCAGGGGGACACCAAATGTCGGGATCGGTATTAAAGTCAGATGCTATTGAAACTTGCGTAAAATAACATTTTGATATCAATATCTCTGCAACCTCAGGTTCAATCTTTTCCTTTTTGTTTTAACAGATAACGTGTTCTTTAAGAAATATCCCTGCACACTTTTTTCATATCTCGTACAGTTTTTTAGTTAGAGTGATATTTTTGAACGCGCGAAGTAAAGCATACTCTGGAGGTATAAAATTGGTCAATTTCAAGCAAATTTTGGAAAAGTGCTCCGCGAGACCAAACCCAGATATTGATGCAACTACTATAATTAATGTACGAGCACCAGGAATATCTTTAGATCAAACACCATTATTTGTTTGAGCAGTCTATGCCCAGTTCCACTTGTCTCAAAGGAACTTCTGCGGAGTTATGGTGATACAGTTTTCGAGATATAGCGGTTTGTTTGACCCCTTGCAAGCCCCATTGTCGACCATTAGATTTTCGCAACTTTCGGAAACAATGTTTCCTTCTCCTTTATTGCTAACCTAATGAAACTGAGCGCACGTGTACAACTTTTTTTGCTCTATTCTATGTAACTTATATTAATTTTTCATTTTAATGCACTATGGGTAAACTGCAGCTAAAAATATTCTCTACATTTCTTGGTTAGGCACAAAAGTACCTTATTTATGGTGTAGACACAATTTATATATTATTATTTATCGTTGAATGAAAAACATGAATGTGTAAGTCTATGTACAAGAAGCCTGATTTTCGAATCCGCTAGGGACCTCAGAGGTTCTAAAAGCGGGTCTGATTATGAGCATAAAGTTTAGATCATGCCTCTCAAGTGCAATGGCGATTCGTAAACAAATGTTCAGGGTAGGCAAAACAGATTACTGAAGGGTAGCATATATTGGAATGAAAGGGACAAGAATCCATTCCCTACCCATACCACTATATGTATGTATGTATGAGTATATATATAGTTTTATTCAATGTATTGAAAACAATTGTCAAATATTGATTTATCACATTCTACAAGAGTATTTCCAAGAAGTTCAAGTGGCCATTCAAAAACAAATTTTACACTCTAAAAATTAATAATTTTTCTTTTAGAAATGTTTGGGCGTGCCGGAACTGTAATTAGCCCTCCGGTGAAATACTTTCTGGAGAATATATACCCTGCTACAGAATGATCTTTTTACACATTTTCACATCAGCACAATGTACAATCGTATTAAACATAAGAATAGGAGGGCAAATGTCCAAAATTTTGTCGTTTATCTACATCGGTCGGTAACCGAAGAAACGATGTTCATTCGCTTTACATGGTTATAATATTATCGTAAAAGGATTTTCGACACATATCGAGTAAAACGCGCATATTGATTTGAAAATAAAGTAATCAATAGATGGTAAATAATAATCACCCCCCCCTTGGGAATTAAACGCGGCTAATGTGCCTGGAAATCTATGTCTTCTGTTATAGGGCAGGCAGTACCTCAGGCAGGCTTGCCTAGCAAAGCAGAATGCACAGGCATCGGTTGTGGTCTAAGCGTGCTACTATTCTACACTCATTCAGGGGGGCCTTTTCTGAGAATTTGTGACGAAGCTAGGCAACCTTCGAACGCACCTACGATAATGAAGTGTTCATTTTATACTTCCAGATTATAAAAACATAGAGAAACTGTAAGATTCATTTAAAATGTATTACGCGTGAAATGTTTTGAGCTAATTCTTTAGGGTAGACACTACCTCTAGGAGGTTGATGTTTCTATCGACTAGAAGCGTCTCGAAAGAAACGAACGACGTGCGCAGTTTCTGTCGAGTTCATTCGCTGCACTTCAGAGAAGCTGCATAACTTGGAAACTCTGGTACGATTGCGTTTCGACAAGAAGCCCGAGGATTCTTAGTGACGATGCTGTGCCCGATTGTGCTGCGGCGAGCGGCGCACAGGGAAGGGAGCGGGGACAGCTCGGCCCCGCCCCGCTCCGACGGCCCCGCCCTGCCCTGCCCTGCCCTGCCCCACTCCGTCCCACCT